GTAAACCTTCAAAGGCTCTAGAGCAAAGTTCTTATGGGATATCAACAGTGAGCATCTTGAGCTTCTTCAAAGTGGGTCATCTCATGAAGTTCACCATTGTGGACCAGTTTTGTAAGCACATGTAAGCACGTTGTGAAAGGTTCCTAGGAAACAAGCACTTTGTGGTGGTGCTTGGTAAACGAGGACCTGGAAGTCCAGGGGGATATGACACCACATAAAGTTGAATAAGTTGAATAATGCAGGTACGTTCAAACATATTCTGCAGATATCTGCAGATACATTTCTGTCACCTCAGTGACGCTTTTTTTTTCCGCGGCGATAGACGACCAGGATTTTCAGCCCATCCTTGTGATTTTGGGCGCCAAATCATGGAGGTTATCCCCATTAGAGCAGTGCCTGAAATAGTTCAACTGGCATATTAAACTATAATAAATAAGGGCAAAAAAAATCCAACTAGCTGGCCTATTGGAAGTCATACATCATAGTAGAATCGCATGTTCCTATCCTTTTCGGGGTTTCTTCAAAAAAACGAGCCACCAAATGTTTATGACGTGCCCCCAAAACTCCTGATCCCTGCAACGGGAGGAGAAGGTGGGTCATTGGCAGTTCTCCTTGGCCCTTTTGGAGGAGATGATGATTCAATCCCTGGAGCCACCTGGAGTTCAGGGCTGGAGATACCCCTTTTGTGAAAGGCTATGAAAACTAGGGCCTTTTTTGATGGAAATATGGTGATACACCATGAGAAGCATGGAATTTTGGGGTACCAATTTCAGACTTAAAAGCGGGTTTTTGGGGTCGTTCACCATTGCTTCTTTGGAGGTGAATTCATTCCTATCAAACTCTCTAGTGATCAGGGTAAACCCTGCTAGGGCGGTAGTTGAATCATATTTGGTTTCAATAATTGGGTTGGTATCAACTACTGTATTTTTGGTTTCATGCTATTATGGGTATAATCATAAATCAATGAAACATCATATTATAATACATATATATATATATATTATACTGTTTCAACCAACCTTTGTTGCAGAGTATCCAACATGGGTTGGTCTAAAAACAAGTCACCCCAAACCCCAAAACCCCATGGTTTTTTTCATCCTTTTCGCAACGAAACAATCCTAAAATGGGGTACAGTATTCGTCACGTGTATGGGTTAAATTCACAAAAAATTGGGATGCTTAAGTCACCATCCCGGTTTGTCTACTTGTATCCTAAATTGGCCATGTACTTTAGGCAACTTCCAGGCCCCCGCACTGAGGCCCGACGTCTTTGCACACAATGCCGCGATGGCTGCGTGCCTCCGCGCCGTGGAGAGTGCTGCAATGGAAAAAAGCAAGAGCGAAGGGGCCAGCAGAATGCCACGTCTTGTCTTGTCAAAGCAAAAGATCGGATAAGTTGGATTAATGCTGTATTTGTTGCTGGTTGGTGACTGGTTTCAAACACTATATTTTCCATAATATATGGGATAATTCTTCCCATTGACTTTCATATTTTTCAAGATGGTTATTGCACCACCAACCAGGTTTTTCATGGTACCATAGTTGGATTATTTGATGGATTATATGAATGGTACCATCAAATTGGATATTTGTGGAGATCAATTAATACTTGATGGTAATTACCATAGTGATCCATTAACATTAATTAACATTAATCAAAATTACCATAGTTGAATGGTACCATTGGTACCATTAATATTATTTTTTCTTGGGTGATTACTGATGACCATAGTGAGATCTCTCTCGGCACGTCGTGAATTGCATATTTTTGGCTCAGCGGATCTGTGGGAGCAGCCGAGAGCCGCCTTTGAGGCCTCCGATTTCCAAAGGTTTGGTCTGGGATTTCATGGGGGTTTGGTAACGGATTCGAAATGAGGATTTAATGGTGGTTGAATGGTGGTTTAATGGTGGTTGAATGGGATTTAATGGGAATATACCCTCTGGTTATGTCAAAATAGCTATTGAAAATGGCCATAGACATAGTTGATGAATTCCATTGAATTCCCATTAACAGCATGGTGATTTTCCATAGTTATGTAAACCTTTACCAGAGGGTAATTGCTGTATATGAAAAACCCATTTAGTGATATCCCATTGAATGGGATTGAGTGGGGATGATTGGGGATGATTTAACTATCACTTAATGGGATGGAAATTAGTGGGATATGAATGGGATATGTGATATGTGGTTGATTGGGATGATTATGGGATATACCATCCGACTTGTCATCAAACGTGGCTGGGAAATCCCCGAACTAAACGGATGTGTTGATGGGAAAATTATATGGATTCTGGATCTGGATATTTTGATCTATTTTGTATATGACATTTTCTCAAAATTCAATGGGGAAAGTCAAATAAACCAAAAGGGTCAATTGTCATCCTTGTGATGATCACGTTCGAGAAAACTGGTTGATTCAGAGATATCCCTACAATAACCCCCTCTAACAACCTATCAATAGGAGAATTGTTAATGGCTAGCCCCATGATATCCCTTTGATATCGCCCTTATATTCCCATTTTCCCTACTTAAGATTACGTCGACCATGTATCAACCATGTCCTATATGAAGTATATATCAACCACATAGAAAGCATGTTTTTTCGAGACTTTTGAAGCGTGGGCCGAGTCCAAACGTGTGTTCTCGCTGCAAACATTGAGTCCATCTGCGCTTTGGGAGGTGTGAAGACCAAGCAGCCATGGCGATGAAGTACTTGGGAGCCTATATGATGGCAGGGAAGCCCAGGAATCCAAGGGATCAAAGGGAGCAAACTCATCGAACTCAATGGCTGTTGAGCCACGATGACCAGAGGGTACAACTGCTAGGAGCACCCCACTAATAGTGACGAAGTGGGGTTAGTTCGCCCAGTTACAAGTGGTGTAACCATAGTTCGGGGACTTACTATTCAGCGTTACCCTACTAACTAGTCACTGACTGGGATGATCCTCCAAGTGCCTAGTAGGATTTGGTGACGTGAAGCCACCCCCCAGTGTTACTTTTCCACCCTTCAATCTGCAAGCTCGCTGGATCAGGCAAAAAGCGGACATGGCACAATCTTGCATCACAATGGCCGAAATTTCACAATGATGATGGCTCATTTCCATTTCAAAAGAAAGTTGTATGCATGCGTTCATAGTTCCTGGTGGAAGTTTCGATTGCAAGTAATGTCCGTCCCCAACTAGGAAGATTAGCCAATTGTACATATGGCGCTTTTTGATGTTTTTTGTTTAATAATTAATCATAAACGAACATTTCATATCATGTATATACGTATGTATGTCGAATCACCATATGATATATATATACGTATATATATATATATACACATACACATCATACATTTCCTTGTATATACATATATATATATATACATATACATACGCATATATATATATATACATATATATATACACATATATATATACATATATATATACATATATATATATATACATATATATATATATACATATATATATATATACATATATATATACACATACATATATATATATACAGTTATTGATATTTATATATATACACATGTTGTGTCAAAATGGTTTACTGTCAACATGTGACCCAACCAAAGCACTCTTTTTTTAAAAAAGCCCCTTTCAGGCCGTCTTGGGCGGCAAGGAGCAGCTGGGAGTGGGCAGTGTGGTCACAGAAATGGGGATGTATTATAGTTATTTCAATTAAATGGGGATTGTTAAATATAGATAATATAGTTTGTATTCATAAAAATAGTTATTTAAATTTGAATGAAATGGAAATGGCTAGTCTCCCCATAGATGTTTTTTTTTGCCCTGAAATGTTAAGCTATAGATGTACCTTCGCCCTTTCGCATGAAATACTGGTTGGTTAGTCTCCCCATAAATAAAGGTTTTGATCATTCCCAATAAACCAGGTAGTTTAATAAGTCTGCAAATCAAGACCTAACAGCATAATTAGCCTCTGAGAACTTAAGATGGCTATGGTATAAACAAACCATATATAGATAATTTACCTATGAACAATGGTGATTTCCACAGCTATGTTCGATGATCAGCTCCGAATCGCTCACATCGACCCTGAGGATTGGCACTAAAGTGGTGGGTTATGCCAACCAAAGATGAAAAACCTAGGATTGGGTTCAGCCATCACTGGTTTGTGGTTTGGAACATGGCTGTTATTTTCCCCAACAGGAAGTGGATGATGATCCAATCTGACGAGCATATTTTCAGGGGGGTAGCGTTGAAACCACCAATTAGATCAATATGTTGTACCTGGCTAAAAAAATACTGTAGCTGCTAGCTGCTATTGGGTATCCATTTTTTGGCACTGACTAGAGCTAATATTAGCCATGTCGTACGAGAAATCCATCCATGCCCGCTTGCCTGAGATGCTAGCTCCATTGAAGCGTGCAACATGGCAACATTGCAATCACCAGGGCCAACAAGTTGGATCTTAAGTGCCCCACTGTCTCATACCTTTTCAATGTTGGTTTCTTGGAGGGTATCTCAAATATCATCCCTCAGTACTTTGCACCCCACCATGCAATTTAAGGACTCCCGCATGTTTGTTCAATGATAAGTGATATATGTCATTATGTTTCTGTGTTGATGTTATAACATGTTTCTGATATAGTACAATACAATAATAATCATATGATATAAGTTGATATAATACAAATTCGATCAATTAATACTATAATTACAATTAATACTGAATATAACATATATATATACATATTAAATGTATAACGTAAAACATCAAATATAATATTATGTAAATGACTCAATTTAAGATAAATTTATATATTGTTGTTATTATTTGCACTATTACTATGTTTTACTATGTGTTTTCCAATAATGACTATCATTATTGTTAAATACATTAAATTAGTTTTGTACAATATACAATGTGGTTCGCAGTATTTCCTATAATTCTCTCCTTGCGCTTGGACGAGTCTCCGCCCAACTGCCTAGTTTGATTTGTTTTCCATGCAGCTTTTTGGGGCGTCAAAAGTCCGCACAGTGCCGTGTTGACGAGCCCCTTTTCCCACGCGCGTGTCGCGCGCGTGTCATCCTGAACCGTGCCTTTGTCACGGGTCAATCCCCGTGTGTCTCTAACCCCAAATCTCATGGTTTCAACCGCTATGGCATGGAAAAATGATCCATTTAAAATGATAATTTACTACCATATTTATCCATTGACAATGGCGATTTCCGTGGCTATGTCAAATAAGCCGAGGGTAGCATCATTTCTCCCCCATTGAAATGGCGATTTTGGGATATACCCAACACAGCAAGAAGGGTCGCATTGACGAACAGCCGAGGTTCTTAAATCCGGGCTTACGAGAGCATTCCAAAGGAAAAGCAGCATAGACACGGCAATGTTCTTGGTGCCTTTCCACTTTGACAGAGTTGTATTATATATTATTATATTATATATATATATGCATAATGCATAGAAATACATTCATATATACATATTCATAGACACACATTAGCACATATACACATACATACATGCACATACATGAATCTAGACATATATATATATGCACATATTGCACATATGTCAACAATATGTACATATAGCCTCGTCCAGGCTTCTGGAACTGCGTAAACCTGAATTAGGTTGGTAAAACTTGTCCATTCCGTGACGAAATTTCGTCGCGGAATTAACAAGTTTCATTTGGGTCATGTTCATCATCATCATCCTCATCATCATCATCATCAGCATCATCATCATCATCATCATCATCATCACTATCATCATCATCATCATCATCATCATCATCAGTATCATCGTAGCATCAACTGCTGCCGCAAGTTCACATGAACGTTAACATCCCCACCCCACCCCACCCCGCGTGTGCGTAGCATCAACTGCTGCCGCAAGTTCACAGCGTGTGCGTAGCATCAACTGCTGCCGCAAGTTCACATGAACGTTAACATCCCACCCCACCCCACCCCCCACCCCCCGCGTGTGCGTAGGCATCAACTGCTGCCGCAAGTTCACATTGAACGTTAACATCCCACCCCACCCCACCCCACCCCACCCCCGCGTGTGCGTAGCATCAACTGCTGCCGCAAGTTCACATGAACTTAACATCTCACCCACCCCCCCCACCCGCGTATGTGCGTGCATCAACTGCTGCCGCAAGTTCACACTGAACGTTAACATCCCACCCCACCCCACCCCCCCCACCCCGCGTGTGCGTAGCATCAACTGGCCGCAAGTTCACATGAACGTTACAACCACCCCACCCCACCCCACCCCCCCCCCCCCCACCCCGCGTGTGCGTAGCATCAACTGCTGCCGCAAGTTCACAGCGTGTGCGTAGCATCAACTGCTGCCGCAAGTTCACATGAACGTTAACATCCCACCCCACCCCACCCCCCAATCGTATTCAGGTTTACGCAGTTCCAGAAGCCTGGACAAGCCTACATATACATATCATCAAATAGATGTAGATGTGCATCCGCATGTTGTGCCAATAGTGTCCCACTTCTCATTTCAATCAGGCCTTGGACAGATTTAGGCTATCACAGCACCAATGTGACGGGGAGGTCATGATTGGTGACAGCATTGATGCAAGAAAGCTCAAAGGTGTAGTCAACAAATGCGCCTGCTTAAGTCTTGTGATGTTTGGTCATTCCATGTTGATTAATTAAGAGTATATATTAAGAGTACATCATATTAAGAGTACATCATATATGTCATTCCATTTACTCATCATCATATTAAAAGATATTAAAAGTACATCCCCATGTTGATCGACTACACTCGCTTGTTCTCGGCCGACCCGGCTTTGAAATCCCCACCAACGGTTGGGAAAAACTAGCTCCAGTGCTGATTCAATAAGCATCTTTTTGGGCCAGATGATGTGACTTTCTTCTGTGCATACCTTTCTGATTTTGCAACCTCGTTGTCCCAGTGGATTGGGTGATGTTTGTTGGTTGGGGGTGATTAGACGGTCCTCTGATTCATGTAATGCTGGGTGACAACCACCAGATGCGAATGGACTTGTAACCAGTGACATTTCTGGGTTAGCTATGACTTGATTTGTAGTATTATATATATAGTATAGTTCAAGTGTTCCAATTTGAAGGTAGCTGTGCGTGCATCATTGGATGATGGACATGCCACATTGTGGAAACTGGAATAAGCTGCATAATTTTATACCAGTAGTGCCCGGGCCATGCCCGGGCGGAAGTTTCGAGAAAATGAAATGGCTATAAGAGATCAATGGCCTTATAGTAAAGTTTGTGCGATGCAGAAGCAATGAATTGTTGCATGTGGGAGGTGCATCAACGAATGAGCACATGGTAGTTGAGATGTAAATGAAATGACATGAAAGAATCCATGCACAACTGACTGAGAGAACCAATGCACCAATAAATCATTGAATCAATGAATTAGTGAATTAGTGAGTCGATGGGCCAATGAACCAGTGAACCAGTGAATCAATGAATCAGTGAATCAATGAACCGATGATTCAGTAAATTGATGATCCAGCGACTCAATGAATCGATGAATCAATGAATCAATGAGTGAATCAGTGAGTCGATGAGCGAATGAATCAGTGAATCAAGGACTCAGTGGTTCCAATGAATCAATGAACCAGTGAATCAATGAATCAGTGAGTCATTGTTTCCATGAATCGATGGATCAGTGACCATGAATGAATGAACTAGTGAGTCTTTTGAGTCAGTGAATCCGTCAATCAATGAATGAATCAGTTAGTGAGTCGATGACTCAATGTGTAAACAAAAGAAAATGGATGGATGCATGGATGGATGGATGAGTGAGCTACTTCTTTGTTGAGCTACCTCTTCACTGATCGACCTTCTTCTCTGAGCAGCCACTTTTCTGGGCTACTTCTGCTCTGACCTGCCTCCCAGCTAGCTCTTCTGTAGCTTCTGCAGCCCAATCCTTCTCTTCGCGCAGCTGTTACAATTCGTTTAGCAACCTCCAGCTGCAATCCCGCTTGCCAGGAGCGTCGCAGCATCACTAATGCTTTGCTGCGCGCAGCTGTGCCAAGGCGTTTTGTCACAGCCAATTGCAAACCCGCATAGCGATGCACCAAATCGACCAGTCGCGCAGTGTCAACAGTGCGAACTTTTCCGCGCTACTTCGAACGTGGTGGTCTTTACGATTATATTCGAAATCGAGCTCTCGCTACAGTCTGGTGCACATTTTGCGGTAAATCATTTTTGCACAGCTATGTAACAAATGACCAGAGGGTATCATCAATATCCCATTTTCCCACACAATTTTTCATATATATAATTCTACTTCATCCCATATAGTGTCCATATTTTTCCTATACTGCTCCATGACATATATTTCCCCCAATGACCAGAGCGTATGATACTATATGGAAACTACTCAGGTGAAACCATGATGTTTATGACCCTCTTCACCGCCCTTGCGGCTGTCTTCATGTACTACCTGCAGCCTCTCTTCTTTCCTGGGGAGCCCACCAGTGATTTCAAGGTCCACAAGTCGGGGAAGTTTTCAAAATCACTGCTGGTTGATGATTAGTTTGTGGCTGGTGCTATCCAGTATTTTTGGGATTGTCATCATCCATGAAATACAGGTATCCTTTTTTTTTGCTAGCAAACGGTGAGTTTAAACAGTTTTATGCGGTTAATAGCGTTTAGTATCGTTTAGTCAAGTATCTTCGGATGGTCTTGGAATGGTCTTAGAATGTTCCCTGTGGCAAGGGTTTGAAGAAAACACCTTCAATTGAAAACAAACTAACGAGCCTAACATCTCTGCTCATATACAAAGCCAGAAAGGTCCAATGATCCCACATGAAACTCACGCAGCGTTCAGCCTGGTGAGAAGTTGTTCTTAACATGTTTGATAACTTTTGCAAGGATGTGAGAATGATAGATAGAACGAACTGGTTTCAATATTCCACAGATGAAGTGATTCCTTGGTCAACCTCCACTGCTTCGCGTTTTTTTCACGAAAGGTGCTACAGCCTGACGATGCACCAGTTTTGATGGAGTACTTGAAGAAGTTGCTTGGTTGCGTGAACGTGTGTTGGTTTCTTAGATGAAAAACGGCCAACATGCGATCTGCAATCAGACTGCGGCTAGAGTTGGGATGGGTCGGTCTCTAAAGGATGCGCAAGTTTTGTTGGCACAGCACAACTTTGCAAAATGAACTAAGAAGGTCCATAAAAATAACATAGATTTCAGATAGAACAACTTGTAGAGCCTCAAAGGGGTGTATCTCCGAACCTTGGAGATTATTTTTTTTTACAAACACACCCTTGGAGACATCCAAAGATATGTTGCAAGTCTTGTTCCCAGGTACGAGAAGGATCTGGGAGAGGATTTCTTGGCGTACAGGCCATGGGGATGGTGATCCCCAACGACTACCCGGGTCGGCTGATTGCTGCACCGCAAAGAAAATGAAGTCATGAAGTACGGGAAGTGAAAGAGAAGTTCCCCACATCCCTATATCATCCTATAATTCCTATATCATCCTATCGCAGTTTTCCTTGGTTTTTCACTGCTGTTGCCCCTCAGGAATCACTGCTTACGAGTGATGTCTTTTACAAGCTATTTTCTAGGCAAGGAGCCTGAGTCAGGCGGGGCTGGAAACACAACGACTTCGCCAGTGATGGTAAGGGGAATCATCCTAAAAATTGTTGATCTATGTTTGCGATGTGCTCATGTCCAGTTTAGGAATTAGCATGAACGTACCTCACATGGGATTGGTGAGAGGGGAATCCAGCATGAATGGCGTTGAATCTGGAACCACAAAATCCCATGGTTTATCATAGCAACATTCTCTTTTCGCAGGCGCCTTTGTATACCCCCAAAATGTTGAGACGACCAAGGCGACCCAGATTCGGCTATGGCGAAAAAGTCCCCCGATGACCTTCAGAGCCGTTGAACCTGTCGTTGACTTCACTCGTTTCAGTCACTGGATTGGTTTAAGGAAAAATCGAATTACAGAAAAGCATAGCATCAAGCATGGATTCTTACCAACCAAAGAGTGTGTTCTCCCTATCTCTCCCCTTTGTGGCTCTGAAAATGCAGGATACCCTCAATTTGTAGCAATTTTCGTAGTGAATTTGGATGGTTCACACAAATTCACCAGGTGTGACGTTTTTTTCCATGTCTTTTAGAGCAAGAGATCTGTTCGTTGCCGAGATTTGCGTCGGCCCTGAGAGGTGCCAAGAAGGTCTTGCAGGCAGCCTTAGCTTACCACGATTTGGGCCTGTGGAGTGATCCTTGGTTCCATTGGTTCCATGCTGTGGCGATAAATGTTGGACCTTCATGGGGAAAATGGACCAAGAATATGCTGACAGCACAAGGCTGCCTCTGCATTGGTCTTGATTCAGTGCAGACATCATGGGGATTTAAGATCTAACTGAAAATATCTAGTTGACTTAATTGACCAACTTCGTATAGCTGACTTTAATTAGTGTTTCAACGGGTATGACTTTTGAAAAGCCAAAGGAAAGGATCCTGAGTTCTGTCCATGTCAACAGTCCCAGGACCTGAAGGCCAGTTATTTGGGACCCAGTGCTGAGAGGCCGGCTGGGAGATGGCTGGTGAGCAAGTTCTGGATTGAAATATAGTGTGAAAATGTGTGAAACATCAGGAATAGATTCAATGATTCAACATAATTCAAGCATATTCAAGCCCTTGCGCATGGAAAATTCGGAACAATTCCCATGTCAACTGAATTGCAACCATTCTTGACCTGGCTTCACAATCTCATCCGTCCATTTAGTGTGAGTATAAACCAATCAGAGTCCCTGGATGGTCACCTCTTATCCCAGACGCCCCTGGCCCTACAGCTGCAGGGCTCGAAGAGATCTCAGTGACAGCTATACTGAGGCAGAATTGCTGCTGGCCAAGAATTGGGTGCCGCTGTCCTGAAGATATGGGTGTCTGTCTGAAAATGGGAAGACCCAATCTTCATGGTCATCTCTTTGAGGAAGACATGATGAGAAATCATCAAACTTGGGGTGCCCAATTTAAAGACAAAGCCGTTTATATTGATGTGGTTGCAAAATGATAATCTCCAAATTGGATGGGCAAATACTGAAACGACCCGTTTTATGCACCCATTGTTATTTTCTCCAATTCTTGGCTCGTCTTTCTCAGGTATGAAAGACTGTTGTTATCGACTTTCGTCCGACTGGACAGATACTCCCACTCAAAAACATTTGCCCTCTGGTAATTAAGCGTAGCTAGGGAAAATCAATCATCTACACCTGGACCATGTTCCAATTCGCAAACTGTAAGAAATAGCCAGAGGGATCGGTGTAGATCATTTAAAAAGCGGCAGCTCGTCACATAGCCATGACTTAGCACTGCCTTACATCTGAGGAAACAGATTGAAGACATCATCATGAACCACCACAAGTACACTGCGTCACCAGATCCCTTAGTGGATGCCATGCGCAAGGCAGTGCCTTGGCGATTTGGATAGGGAACCCTCCCACAATCACCTGAGGTTGGTGAGTTCATGTGAATTCCATTGAATTCCCATCATTGATCCAGATACTTTGCCACTGAAAGCGACCATCTTCTTGTTCTGGGCCATGTGATTTCACAGCTGCAGATGGGTAAGAGCCTGTCAGATGGTGAAAAATTGTGCAGACTAGACCCAACTCTGTTATTCATTGGCTGAAGCCACCATTTGTGGCTGGTTAAAACCCTTGACAGGTGATTTTCCCATGATTTTCACATGAAAATCTCAATCTTGTTGGTCATATCAAATTATATCCCATGAAAATCGGGATATAGCATCCCCAGATCTCAACCTGGTTTGTTATATCATGTTATATCCCATTTATATCCATTTATAACGGGATATAACATGATACAACATCCCCACTGGTTGGTTTCGCCACATTTCAAGGTTCTCCATTCAACTTGGGGATTTGGGGCGTTCTCCATTCAGGGGCGGTCTGCGAACCGGCTCGTCTAGGACTGGTTGGACTTCACGAATAACCTGCGTTTCCCCATGCGCTCTGGAATGCCCAGCGGCAATTTGGCCAAGGCCAACCAGGAAGTGCCAAGTCGCCGAAGGAAAAAAGGGGGGTTCGACGACTTGACGACTATGGAATGTGAAAAAAGACCCCCGGTGAGTTTGTTTTGTTTGGGTTTGATCTTCATGATATCCCATAATCATCCCATGAGTATTGATCTTCATAAAGATGTTTAGGTGTGTTTGGTCAGTAAAAAAAGGGTGGTTTATAGAAGCGTCAGTTTGTATTACAATCATATAAAATATATTTCATATTTCTATTTCTATGATATTTTTTTAAAAATATATTTTTATAGATATAGATATCTACGGCGAAATCGGGATGGATGATAGGACCAATATATTTGGCCGGTTCAAACATGGTCTGATTTCCATCCCAAGAAATGGTCATAGATGGATGATCGGCCCATGTTGTTTTTGTTGGCTTGAAATTACAAAGCAGATGCATGTACTTCATGCAGATTGGGTATGCCAAGAAAGGTTCTTTCAGTTCTTTCCACCTCGAAAGTGAGTCTTTTTTTCAAACGATGATCGGCAATCGTTGCTAGTTTGCGAACACTTCTATACGTCTATACGTTTTGTTTTGTTTTCCATCCATACCAGCCAGCAATCATATCATGGTTCATATGTTCATCCCTGCTGTCCATTCAATATGCACCTCGAATTAGGATCCCGATTCATTTTCGCATTTGTCACGGGGGTTTAGTTCTGTTGTGGGCTCACGGGCCAAAACTGGATCCAAATGGCTATGTAAATTAGGAACATGAAATCCAGATGGAATGGGGTAGCCAAGTTTCAGACGAGCCCAACTATGACTATGGCAGATGGTTGAATAGATGTTAGTTCATGTTGTTTGTTTGCAAGCCGTAAATAGGGGTACTTACCAGCCACCTAAACATAATGGGTTTTTGTTGCATCTATCCAAGATTGGCTAGACCCCGCGAGGATGTCAGTGTATAGCATGATTGGTGATGGGCACCACCACAAAGTGATATCATTTCAGATGACAATTCCTGGCCAAGTGATGGTGATCTCGATTTTGTTGTCCTTTTGGGGTTGACATTACATATATATATATATAGCTGAAGCGAGTGACCTCGGGGATCAAGCCTGAAACTGGAATACCAACATATACAGACTATATTCCGATTAGCATATCGTGTCAATTGATCAATTCTTTATTGAAATCCGAATTTATAGATAATGTTCTTATCAGAACCTCCAATTTATAGATGGTTCCCCCCGTCCCAAGAAAAAAAAACATGTGTTTGGGCATATTCCCCATGACACTCTCTGTTTACAGTAAACATTGTTCTGCCATGGAGCCGAAACTGGTTGGTGGTTTGGAACATGAATTCTATTTTTCTATATATGGGGAATAATCATCCCAACTGACTTTCATATTTTTCAGAGGGATTGAAACCACCAACCAGGAAAATTCCGATCTAAGGTGCCTTTGGCAGGCTTCTTCACAGCTTTAGCGAAGCGACCCTTCGCTATCCGACCGGACAATCCACTGAAAGCAAGTGCCATGGTCGTTGTGATCGACGGGTAAAACCACGGCTGAATGCTGAGAATTTGGACACCTAAAAAGGTGGGTAAAAGAACAACCCTAGATGATCCTAGATGGAGATGTCAATGGCATATAATGATGAAATGATGATGAATCTGGGTAAATTATAACGACCTCACTGCGACCTCACTGGAAATCATGGTTAGCAAGGGAAATCATCCCCAAATGGCCTTAATTCAGGTTAGTGAAATATTATAATTTACCCAGAATATAGTGATGAGATGATGATAAATTTTTGAGTGTCCCAGTTTCAGGCAAACCCTTGTTGGGTCAACGTTTGTTGCTGTACAAATGGGCGAATGTTTCATACCTGAAATTTCGTAGGGATTCGTAGGATCATCCTGTGCCAATCGGCCAAACTAAGCCCTTACTGGTACCATCTGGTACCCAGTAGACACATGTCATGATAGTTCACCAGCCTGAAATACTGGTGATATCAGGCTTGTTTTATTCCCATCTGCATGTCATGATAACCCAAGCATTCCCATGTTGAAACTGCCTCTGTTGACAGGTCTGGAGGTTATGGAGATTTTCAGATGGTGACCGTCACCGTTCGGAAGCGCGCCCGGCTGTGTTCGGAAAAAAAATATGGGGCGGATCTGCTGAGGGTCGGTGGAAGGGATTTTGGTTGGTGTTAAGATCCCCCATCAAATCTGCTACTTATATCATATGGATATGGATCAATACCTATAAGTACCATTTTTAGGGTGATGAACATCCATTTACCAGCTATTTTGAGGTTCACCAGGGGTACAAGGTTTTGACCCATCCCCATATCTATAAATTTCTATCATGGAAGGGAGAATAACAATTTCGGAAAGCATGAGTTTTTGTAATGTTTTGAGGTGCAATAGTGTATTATGACGTTGCCAAATTGAGAAGTATGCAACATGTTTCGGGAGTTGTTGGGATATGATTTTGTAAGACCGTTGGTATTTGGGGTATGTCCTAGTTTGGTATACAAAGCCACTTGATTCTTTGGTTTTGCCATCCTGAAAATATGCGATGGGCAGAACCTCAAAGGGACAACTTACGGATGACTTCCGCGATTTCGGCCTTAACAAACAGGGCGTTTGCACAGATTTCATCAAGTCAAGTGCGGCTCGCTGTTCCAGAGGTTTCTGAGTAAAAGTCTGTGAACATGTCTAGTTATGCCTAGCTTATCAATTTTGGGGTCTGTTTGCTTGTGTGCGGTTTACCCCAAACACATGGATGTGGGGGTGATTCTTCATATTGGATGAATCGCCAGCTGAAATTTGACTATCGCCTCATCACTTCAGACATCTTCAGTCCCATGGACCTATTAAGAATAAGAAAACGATAGAACATGAACATGTTTAGTAGCCACATCATCCATCTTTGATGCCTTTAGTTAGCACAAAACACCCAGTCATGTAGGCTAATCTCGTATGCCAAACCCAGCACCATGGGTGGTATGGGGTACAAACCCTCCATATTCGGGTCCCCAGTCATTTACACAGGAGAGCCCTTCCGCAGCTGACATCAAGACCATTCTCGAGGTTTGGTTAAAGAGTACTGTGGGTCTCTGGGTCCCTGGTCCGTTTGAATCGGATACAATGAGCTTTTTTGGGGATTAAATGGGGATATGGTTAACGGATAATACTCGTACAGGATGGGATTATCAATGGGATATATATGAGCTTATATGAGTTGATATTTGGGTGCGGCATCGATGGATATCCTCCAAATCTAAACGTTTACGAGCCTCCTTATTTAATGACATAATAAGTCACTGGGTTGGCTTTAGTGAAATGACTGCGGAAAATGACATGGTTTTCTCCGGCTGCCTAGCTCTCCGAACGAGTGGCTGACCGCAAGTATGTACCTCTGTTGCTGAAATTGCAGACTTGAAACTGCAGCAAACTTGATATTTTTGTTGAAACATGCTACACGAGATCTTACCCTCCTGATTTCAGTTCAATTGCACCACGCGTATTTTATGACACATAAGTCTTCGGGTCATCACCCCGTCGCCGACAAGCCACCACTACTGGGCATGATGCTCAATAGAAATGCCGGATTTTACCAACTATTACAGGTCCTCTCAAGTCATTCTCCGTGGAAAGTCCCGAACATGTTCATTTAGTTTGTGTACAGTAGATGATCTGCCTATCGAACATACATACATTATATATTCATTATATTATGTATATAGTATATAGCAAAACAAACATGGGGGTTCCAGTCTGCCATGTTGAATTGCCAGGTGGTCCTTTCCAATGACACTATGACAATGGTTGTGTAATCAGTACTCTTGTTTTCTTGGAATATGTCTATTATCATAACTGCAGTATCGTTATAATCATACATAACATTACAGTACATAACAGTATATCATAGAAAATAATCATACCTACAATCCCTTCTTCGTAATACCCATGTGGGATCGTTGTTACAGTATACCATATACATGATATATATATATAAATATTAATATATTATACATAGGTATACCGTATTACCCCCGCAAAAAAAAAGTGATTTCTCCAGCTTCACTCACTCAGTGGAGGCGGGAGGTATCAGCTTTGAGGAGGAGATGATCACCACTCTTTGCGAGAAGATGGAGGGCAAGCAGGTGCTGCGTTAAGTGCACCTGTTAAGATATGTTGAGATGGTTGCGGAATCCTGCACCAGTTGATAGATGGTAAACATCCCATGATTTTGTTTGGGTTTCAACCATCCTTGTGGTGGTGCAGGATTTCGCTGGCCCATCCACAGTATGTTAAGATGCTGAAAAAAACGAGTTGTACTTAATTAGTTAGTGGTTTTATGGGTGTTAACTCCAACTTCATCCATTCTGGTTTATTAAATACAAATTTGTTAGTAAAATTACGATTTAATTAGTGAAACCCCAATGTTTGTTAGGAATTGGCTAGGATTTTTTCCCACACACAGACTGTTTGGATGTGAATCCCACTAAGTGGTTCATAACCATAATTATTATAGCTATTAAATTTCACGAGCTCCTGGGATTTTGTGATTTTTAGGGAATATTGGATATCAAGGTCAAGATGCAATATTTGGTGCAGTGTACGCGCACAAGGGTGGCACCAAAAAACTTAAGCGTCATGGTTTGCACGGGTTTGCACTGGATCAGCCTTCCATAAATGGAATTGGTCCAATTAATCGTTCAGAAAAAATGAAACGGTCGGAAACGGTCGGAAACAGTCGGAAACGGTCGGAAACGGTCGGAAACATGATCAGGCCAAAACTTGTCCAACCCGCATTTTTTTTTAAAATAAGCATTTCCGCGCAACGCCGTTTTTTTTTTTGAAGGTCCAAAGGTGTCCAAGGGGAAACGGTTGGAAACAGTCGGAGATCGCACCTTCGCTCGGCAAAAAAATAGTTGTTTTGTAGCATATGTTCATGAAAAATGTTTGAAAATTGTGTAAAAACATGTCTTTTTTGCCGAGCGAAGGTGCGATCTCCGACTGTTTCCAACCGTTTCCCCTTGGACACCTTTGGACCTTCAAAAAAAAAAACGGCGTTGCGCGGAAATGCTTATTTTGAAAAATGCGGGTTGAACAAGTTTTGGCCTGATCATGTTTCCGACCGTTTCCGACCGTTTCCGACTGTTTCCGACCGTTTCCGACCGTTTCATTTTTTCTGAACGATTAATTGGACCAATTCCATTTATGGAAGGCTGATCCAGTGCAAACCCGTGCAAACCATGACGCTTAAGTTTTTTGGTGCCACCCTTGTGCGCGTACACTGCACCAAATATTGCATCTTGACCTTAGGCCTTGATATCCAATATTCCCTTCAAATCACAAAATCCCAGGAGCTCGTGAAATTTAATAATTATAGCTATACCCCAAGAATATAAGATATGATATACTCAAATGCATTATGTCTAATATATATATACACAAGGTATGATCCAGTTGATTCTCCAATTCCATTTATGGGATGTCCATGTCCGGGAATCTCAAGGTCAGTGAGATGATTACCACGGGCTTCACCAAGTTTGCCGCCTGCGGTGGTGGCGGCGGCGGTGGCGGCGGTGGCGGTGGAGGTCGATGGGAGGGGTGGCCCATATGGATCGATGGTTTGGAATACCACAATGGCCCAAAATGCTTAAATTTGGGGTTACTATTGAACTATATTGAACTATTGCTTTACCAACAGCATTTGACTATCCAGTGGTTAGGAGAGAGCGTTTTGGGAGCCCACTATAGTATGTTGGAGCCAAGTAGCTACTTAGAGTTTCCCAACCACATGATAGCTGGATCTGAAGAATCATGTGTTTGGAAGCACCAAATAATGTGAGTGAAGGACTGTTTTGACATTGTATATTCAAACCTGCTTGAAATATGTTCAAGAATATAGAATACTAGGCTTCTGACCCACGGTCCGGAACATTTTCAGAAAGTTCCTGTATTTGATTGGAAAACATCTGTCTCCTGGAAAATGTGTTCTTCAGCCAAACAGACAGTGGCAGACACTACCGTAGTCCCACTGCAAAAGGTCAAGTCATGATTTGCATGAAGGATCACAAAGTCATTATTCTGGGAGCTTGGTTGGGAACTTTGTGGCTTCAGTTTTTGCTGGAAAAGTGGAGGGCATATGAGTTCGTCCAACAGTAGGCCCCCGCAAATTCCAGTAGTTTATAATATTTTATAATGATTTCTCAATGGTTTGATATTTGTTTGTTGGTATCTTCCCTTTTCAGGGCAACCCAATACCTGGTATTCATTGGTTCAATCAATACGTTCGACGTTTTTCGCCAGTAAAACTATTTTGGTTGGTAAAAGCCCATATACCCATGTGTATCCCTTTTATACCTTAGATACCTTGGAAAATACCATGTTTATGGGGAAAATCCTAACCAGGCGCCGCTGCTGCTGCCGGCGGTGATGATGCTGGTGCTAAGGAGGCGCTTTATGGGTTGATTTTTGCAGAGAAGTATTTCATGGTGATAATCAAGTGGGGATGGGTCAAAACCCTGGTACATAGTGAACCCCAAAATAGCTGGTAAATGGATGTTCATCCCACTAAAAATGTATCTATAGGTATTGACCCATACCCAAGT